CCACCGGGAATCTTCTCCTACAACATGGGCAGCGCACCGCCATGTTTTTTGTCTTTTGTGCATCTGGTGACTAGTCGAGCCACCCAGGCTCATGAATGAATCTGACTCCAATCGCGTCCAGAGCTGTGTGAGAAATGACTCAGGCCCTCTCTCCACTACTCACCACCCCTGCACAAAAGACAAAAGGAAAGGCTGTTGTGTATCTTTCCATGTTCCGGCAGAAGTTTAGTTCCCATTATGCACGTTTGGTGAGCAGCGGAGCGGCTGGAGCCACGACCTTAGGGCCTCGCCACACCACAGGAGTTTCCAACATTTTTTCTTTGCCACACAGACTGTCGAAGAAAAAATGTCGAAAACACTTCGACATTTGTCAGAGATTCTGAAGTGGTTTGGTTTCGACACGGGCGTGGAACGGCCCGCCTCAGTGTGTCGAGTTGCAAACATCTCCGAAGGGAGGTTGTGAAGGAAAAATGTGCGGATTTCGACGACTGCCAGGGTCGGGTTACTGTTGTTGAGTCAACAACCCGAGTGTTCTTTTTTTTTTTCTTCTTTTTTTTTCTTTTTTCTTTTTGCCTTTTTTAACATCGAAACTTTGCTTATCGTGGGTCTGGGACATAGGGTGTGGCGAAGGCGGCCTTTGTGTGGAAACCGGGAATGTCGAAAATGGTCTGACAGCTGGCAAATATTTCACGGTTTAGACACTGGTGTGGCGAGGCACTGAGTATGAGTAGGCCCTCAGGGCCTGGTTGCACTACTCTCCAAACGTCAAGTTTTGCGAGTAGGCGCCTGGTTGCTGCACTTACTCGCCAAACACCGACTCACCAAACTTGGCGAATGGAAAATATGTCAGAGTGCTTGCCACACAGTCGACACAAGTTGTGGCGAGTGTTTTCGGTTCTTTATCCCCCTGTGCATGGTGGTTTGTGGAGGGTGGTCTTCAGACCTCCCCACAAAACAACTTCTTTTTTTTTTTTTGTTTTTTTTTTTTTTTTKTTTTGGAGAGTGCACGGCTTCACGAGTGGAGATGAGGTAGACAAAATCTTTTAACTTTTCTGTAGAAGAAATATAGTGGAGAGGCCCTAAGTGTAACCGGGCTTTGGGCCTCCAGTTCGACTCGATTCTATTTTTTTTTCACTCCACCCATCCGCCACGAATTGTGGTGGATGGCGAGTGGTGCAACTAGGCCCTCAGCTACGGGCAAGGAAATTTAAAAAAAAAGAATTCTCACTCAGAGGGAGCTTTCTTGAACCATTTATTCTAGACGTGGTTGTGGTGAGGTTTGTCCACATGCGAGATGCAAGTACAACCGTACCTGGACGACTCTGACAGCAAGCACGCCAAGAACTTTCCTCTGCCCCATGAGGGCATACTCACACCAGGCCCTCAAAATCACAAAATCCCAATATGAGCGGCCCTCAAAATCGCAAAATCCCAAAATGAGCGGCCAGATCCGTGATCTAGTCCTTCCTTTACGGGCACTGGATCTGGGCGCTCTTTTTTTTTTTTTTTTTTTTTTTTTTTTTTTTTTTTTTTTTTTT